TTTCCCTTCTCTTACCATAGTCTCTTCCCTTTTGATTGCATTAAGATTTTAATTATACTTGCTGGAGTTTAAGAAACCAGTTTCTTATATTATTCTTTATGTGGTCAAAATTTGAAAAGTTATTATTGTGCATTTCCTCTTGCTTATGCTAACGCACAGATGTTGAGCAACAGTCTTGCCATTTTGTTCTTTTAATTGTGCATCATTGATACTCCTTACATCAATATTGTTATTTAATTTTATTAAAAATATTTGCTCAAAACTTTCTATTATTTGGATTCAACAGGGGAAGACAAATATGTTGTTCTAGTATCAGGGTTAAGTGTTGGGAGCAGCAACTCTAATCCTCTTCAGTTTCAGCTTCTCATTGATCATATTACAGGGCATTTAGGAGATGAGAAGGTTTACCTTTCTTTTCTCTCAACTTTCTCATGTTGATAGTTATGCAACATTTCAAAGTTTAACTCATCATAAGTGACATGAAACAGGAGCAAAGTATTGCATCACAAATTGCTCATGTTGTCTTTGCTGGAAATTCAGTTGAGATACCTCGCAGACTTCTTAATGGACAGGTATTTATGTTACCATAGAGGGAGGGGGAGAAAAATAAAAGGATTGCAGGGAGAAACCCTTGCTACTGCATGTCATTTACTACTTACCAGCATTGTACAGTGTATGAGACATCTAGGGAAAGAATAATACCAATGTGTAGTACAAAAGTAATTGAATACATAAAACTAATAAATAATAGACTAATAACTAGCACTAACATCTCAACAATTTTAATGTTGAGTTTTTTTTTTAACGGTACTGCATTTTGTATTTTGTCAGGAGCCCAAATTAGTAAACAAACAAAGAAAAGAAAGATTGTATTTTTTTATTGTAAAAGAACATAAAATAGGAGAAATGACTCTCCTCCGATGGTTTCCCCTTCACAAAGGATTTCTCCTTTCACCAAGAGCTAATGCTCAATGTACAAATGAACAGATCTGAATCAATTCTCTCTCCTTTAGTCTTATTAATTTATGTCACTAACTCACTAACTCACTAATCACTATAACTAATATTCTAAGTAACTCCCCTTCCCAAGGTCCAACAGTTTTCTTTGAGGAGTTTGGTGTTTAGGGTTTAGTGTAATTCTAACTATTCAAAGGGAGTTGGGTTTTTTTGCTATTGCTTTTGGCATGAGTTGTAGACAGAGAAGCTTGTTTCTTTGAGGAGCACTCTGCTCTGGAGTCTCCTTTTGTTTGTAACAGCTCATTGAACAGATTTCTATAAATAATACAAGCTGTTTTCTGGTATTTAATCTCTAGTTTCTATCAGCATTTATGGGCATTTTCATCAATATTTGCAGAATTTGGCTTCAAAGGATCTTTCAAAGATGGCTGAGTCAATAAAGGAGCTAGATATTCTGTTGAGTCAGGTTCAGTTCGTTAGTTTGGTTCTTGTGTTGTAGTCCTTTGTTTTTGTAAATAATATGCTCGACTTTTACTTGCCTTTCAGATTGCTGCTAGTTTGCCTTTGGATATCATGCCAGGACCCAGTGACCCTTCTAATTTCTCATTACCCCAGCAGGTTCGTATGTTTCCTTTAAGAGTTATTCATGTCATATTAACATATGTTGTTTGACTTTATGACTAAAATTATCACTTGCAGCCATTACATACATGCCTTTTCCCTGGGTCTTCGGCATATAATACTTTCAGATCTTGTACAAATCCTCATTGTTTTGAGCTTGATAATGTCAGGTAAATAGGCTATTCTCAATATTACTGTCTTTGGTGCTGAATCTACTATAACATCAAAATGATTCCCACACTGCTTCCAGGTTTCTTGGGACATCGGGTCAAAATATAGATGATCTTGAGAAGTATTCTGATGCAAAAGATAAACTTGAATTCATGGAAAGAACATTAAGATGGAGGCATGTGGCACCCACTGCTCCTAATACTCTTGGTATGTACATTATGGATGCTTCAATGTTTTTACACTTCCTTGATTATCACTTATCTATAATCTGTCTCTTTCACTTTGCACGGAAAGTTTCTCCAGAAGGTTGAATATTTATTACATTACCTGCTATTTCTGAAGAAATCTAGACTTAAAAAAAATGAAAAGTTATTTATTCTGACTTATGAAAGTTACTGTTGCCTTCCAGGATGTTATCCTTATACTGATAGGGATCCTTTCTTCATTGAGAGCTGTCCTCATGTTTACTTTGTGGGAAATCAAGATAAATTTGAAACTCGTGTCCTAAAGGGTATTTTTATTCTAAAATCTACATTGCATAAATAAAGTTACTTCATTTCTGATTTGCATTTACTTTAATATACCCTCCCTAAAACTTTAATTAATTTTCATGTTGATTGCAGGATCTGAAGGGCAGTTAGTGAGACTCATTTGTGTTCCTAAATTTTGTGAATCTGGAGTTGCTGTTATGGTGAGCTCCAAATCTTGCACACTTCATGTTAGTTTGATACGGTCTTTTTTTACTTATATAAAATATATTACTCCTTAAACAGGTCAGTAACATGTCTCCGGTTCGGTGCTTAAGGTCACATTAGTGTCCCAGTGATTGTACTAATGAGACTCACTTTAGGCATTTCCTTGTAGTCAATTAAATTGGGTTTTTCCAATGATTAACAACCCTGAAAATATGGTTCTTTGCTAGAATTGAAATGCTATCTTTCTTGCTGCTTTCCTCTCTTAAATTATATAATGAGGCAATTTTTAAGAAGTTCAATTAAACAAAAAGACATCAGAAGTGGGATAACCGGATAAGGTTTTATTGTTGTATTCTTTTGTTCAAGACTTGTGTGCATAAAGGGGTTCTCTTTTGAGGAAATCATAAAAAGGTTTTGGTATGAGACAAATATTGGTTAATCGGGCATTTCCAATTATTTTGGTCATGGATTGGGTTCATGGGACAAATAGATTTTGGTATGTAGATTGTCTACTTCTTTCCC